GCTCAGCCTTTGAAATATAATGAAGCACTCTTACACTGAAATTTGCAGGACTGCCGGATTTTCTTCAGTTTAGACGCGTCTTCACTTGAGAGAAGTTACTCAAATAGAATGAAAAAAAATGGGTATTTTATTTTCTCTTACTTGACAGATTTACCATGTTTGTTTTAAGTGGACTGCTCTGTAACTTGTGGGATTTTTGTTCACTAGGTGCTCAGTAGGCTGTGAATGCTGGACAATCACTAAAGACATGGAAAATGAAATAGAAGCAACGGAAATGTGGTTCCTTAGAAGACTGCTGAGAATATCTCGGAACGAAAAGAAATCAAATGAAGTAGTACTTGATGAAGCCCACGTGAGAAGCTCAGTGATAAAAACAATCAGGAAAAGACATGCAGTTTTTGGGACACCTGAATAGACAAAGGTCTTGAACATCTAGCTCTCACTGGCAAAATTGAAGGCAAATGAGGCAGGGGTAGGCCCAGAGCAACTTACTTAGAGAACCTAAACAGGTGGGTAACGGGGAAAGATCAGCTTTTTTAAGAGCATCCGGGCAAAGGAATGAATGGAGAGCCATGATCGCCGATGTCTGCTGCAGATCTGGCACTTGATGATGAGGTACTCATAACTTGGAAAGTGAATTAAGTAAAAAAAATGAATGTGCTAAGAATTAAAATAATTCTTTATTTTGAATGGGTTTTTAAAATCTTTCTCGATGATGAGGTACTCATAACTTGGAAAGTGAATGAAGTAAAAAATGAATGTGCTAAGAATTTAAATAATTCTTTATTTTGAATGGGTTTTTATAATCTTTCTCGACCATCACAGGTGAAGAAGAACTTGGAGCATTTGAACAAGAAAGTGGAGAAACAGCTGTGTGAGGAAGAGAATCTAATACAGGTAAAAACATTTTGTCTTTCTTACCCTCACCATTCATTTGTCCTCTTCCTTTCTGACTTCTTTCTTTTCTTTTGTCCATTTGTCTTTTCTTCTCTCTTTCCTTTCTTTCTTCCATCCGTGCATCTCTCTTTCCTCCTCTCCTTCTTTGCTTTTTGTTTCCTTTGTCGTTTACTCATATTCTTCTTGCCAGAACTTGTATGCATGCCTACATGATCTATGTTTCTGGAAATGTGTAGGAGTAGCTTTTTATTAACTGCGACTAATTGTGAGAATTTCTACTGGCTGTGGAAAGGTAGACATTAGGCAGAGAGAGTACAGAGAGCATTTATCAAGTCTTTGTTGCATGAGGAGGGGGAGAGTGAGAGAGAGAGGCAGAGGCCCTTACATGACTGACCTTATTGCGTTAGAAGTGCAGTAAAATTTTAATCAAAATCTAAATATCTCACCCCTTCCCCCCCCCCCCCCTTCATCCTGTGTACAGGTGGTGTGGCATGAGATGCAGGACGTGTTTATCCAACAGTACAAGTACTACGACGAGCTGATGCGCCGCTGCTACCCCGACTCCAACATCACTCTGGAGTTCACCATGCAGAACGTGCTGCAGTTTTTCTCCGACATAGCACAGGCGCACTAGCCTCAGCACGAAATAGTGTTTTGTTTGTTCTGAAATTCGTTAACTCTTTCAGGCACGTGTGTTGTGACAAACTTTGCCCACTTTCATTAGCTTTACCGAAATGTCAGAGGCATTTTGTCCGTCTTTCAGGCCCGTATAGTTTGACAGACTTTGCCCATATTAATTTGCCTTTACCAAAATGGCAGAGTAGTGGGAGTAAGACCTTTCCTAAACAACTGAAGGAATGACAAACGAGAGAAAATATTGTAGTATCTTACTTTAGTTGTTCTGGAAATAGTCAGTAGGCTAGTATTAAAAACTAGTATTAGAAAGGAATCAGACCTGCCAACTGTCTGGAATTTCTCGGAATCGGCTATACAGGGAATTTAAGAGGACATTGTAGCCTTTTTCGGTTCCGCTTGTTGTAATTTTGTTCGTTGTTACATGTCTGCTGTAACATCATTGGGCGTCCCTGATTGGGTTTTGTAAAAGTTCCGCAAGTCTGGGGAATGTGTGAGCCTGGTATGCGTGATCGGCTGATTGATGCTCACTTCTCTATTGGGCAAACAGGAACTGGCGGTGCTATCAACACCTA